AATTTTGATTTTTCCCAGGAATGGAATTATCTTTCATTTACGAAAAAAACTAAAAGAAATTGTTTTATCTTTTGAAGACATGATTTTATATTTTTAAATTCTGCCAAAAATGAATATGAAGTTTATTACATAAAGTAATATATAAATATTATATTTGATCCACAACTTATGTGTTTATGAAAACAGTACTTTTTAAAATATTTTTGTATTTACATATAAGAGTATCAAAAATTTCTTTATACCAATTTTATTTATATATTATTACAAAATTTACGTTCTCGATAGTTATTACTAATTTTTACTACGACATTGTTTTGTTTTTTTGATTTTATACTTCATGTTAACTTAATGTACTTAATATTCACGAGCGGTTCTCGATGATAAGGTCTTCTGCGAGTCTCCGCGTTCTTTTTTGTATATATTTCTTTTCATTGTATAACGATTTTTATCTTAACTATCTTATTGTATATACTATATTGAATATTCAAGGAAAGATCAAAAAAAATATATATATATATATAAAATAAACAGGGAATTTTTCCACAAGCTCTAAAGTTAGCAAAAATCATACCAATGTTAAAAGGTGGTGACATTGACATTGAGAATATAAGTAACTATCGTCTAATTTCACTACTTTATGTATTCTCTAAATTTTTAGAAATAAATTTGTACAATAAAATTTATAATCATCTTACTATAAACAATTTATTTTACAGCAATCAATATGTATTCAAAAAAAACAATTCTACTGAACATGTCATTCTACAATTTACAAGAAATATATCTGATTCATTTGAAAATTCTCAATTTACTTTAGGTGTTTTCATTGACTTTGCGAAAGCTTTTGATACTATTGATCGCAAAATTCTTTTTAAAAAGTCGGAGTGGTACGGAATTACAGGAAATATATTAATTTGGCTAAAAAATTATCTGAATAATTGATAAAAAATTATTTATGCGGATGATAACGTATCAATCAATTCAATCAATCAATTATATATTCTGGAAAAAAAGATCTAATTTCCACGATTGTTTACAAATAGTTATAAGAACTAATATAAAGTAAAAACTTCTTTGATTATAAAAAACATATTATTGACATATAGTTATAATAATAATAAAAATAGCAATAAATTAACAATAGCACGATAATAAAAATAATTAATTGTATAATAATAATAATAACAATAATAATAATAAAGTAATTATAATAATTTAAATAAATCGGTATTACTTTCCATTCAGCAATCATTTTTAAATACAAAGTTACAGTTACAAACAGTAATAAACTGACAAAATGTAACAACTAACGATGACATTAAAACGACAACTGCTAAAACAATTATAAAGATTTAGTAAATATATTAATATAATCATAGTTGTTAAAATATAATAATCAAAATATATTGCAAATATAATTACCAAATAAATAAATAAAATATAAACGTAAAAACACTAAGAAAATCAAAACAAAACAAGTTACAACAAACATTACGAACAAAACAAAAAGTTATGCAAAAAAACAAAAAAACAAAAAAAACAACAACAACAACAAAATACTTAAGATTAAAAAAAATAATAATAATACACGGTAGAATAAAACATATAAATGAAAATAAAAACAAATATTATATAACTGCATAAAAAATTTATATACCACTAAAAATAAATAATAACTAAAAAGCAAACAAATGACTAACAAAAAATAATAAGTAAAACTATATGCGTTAAAAAATTGAAGAAAAATAAATAAATTACAAAATAAATAATCCAAAGAAATATATGAAAGAAAACTAAAGAAATATATGAAAAAATAAATAAAAATTTTGATTTGCCGATCGAGGTTTAGTTCTTTAAATAGTTTTTTTTCTTTCTTTGCCATTCTTTTTATATATTTCATTCATTCAAGTTTTTTTTTAACTTCTATTTTCATAACTTTTTTACTCATTTTCTTTCAGATATTTCTTTTTCTTTTCTTCTTTTAAAAGATTTATTTATTATTTTTTTTTGTTGATTTCATTTTTAGTTTAATTTGTAAATATTTTCTTTTTCCTTTTCCTTTTTTCCTTTTAAAAAGTTATTTTCAACCGTTAGAAAAAAGCGTCCGTCATTTGCGTTGTCATTGCAAAAGGACATCTATATCATCTAAATATCATCTAGTTTGTTAAATATTCTATGTGGAGTTCCTTAAGGATTCATATTAGGACCTCTCCTATTTCTAATATAATTTAATGATCTACCAAAAGCTTCAAAACTAATGACAATTATGCTTGCTGATGATTCTAACTTTCTTTCTCATTATAACATTTTTACACTTTTTAACAACATGAACATTGAACTAATCAAAATTTCCAAATGATTTAACAAACTATCATTAAATATTAATTAAACTAAATGGATTCTTTTTCATCCTTATGGTAAAAAGCACCAGTTGACTAGCAACTTACCTATTAATTTAATCGATAAAATAATTATTAAAAGAGTTCTAGTGACAAAATTATTAGGTGTAAAATTTTCATTAATATATATCAATGAAAATTTTACATGGAAAAGCCACATTGCTTACTTGTGCTGTAAAATTGCAAAGAGTATAGGCATTTTATACAAAATAAGAAACGTTCTGGATTAACATACCTTAATAACCTATATTATTCGTTAATTCATTGCCATATTAACTATGCAAACATTGTTTGGGGTAGCACTTATAAAAGTAAACTTAAACCTTTCTATCGGCAACAGAAGCATGTAGCACGCCTTATAAATTTCAATAACTGTTTTGCTCACGCCAAGTCTCTTTTATATGATATAAAAGCACTCAATAATTATGAGTTAAATGTTTTTAATATTCTTTATTTTATGAATAAATGCAAGATCCACCTACCACCTATTTCTTTTCGTAACTTGTATTTACAAAGAAATAGAAATAAATATATTTTAAGGAAAGATAATTAAATTCGACAATCATTTTCTCAAATTAATTTTGGAAAATTTTTTATTTCATTTCGCCGGTAATTCTTATGGAATAGTATAGTTCTAAATACTTCTAAAGATTTTTCTCAAGAATGTAACTTTGATTCTTTTAAACAAAATCTTAAAAAACTCATTTTTTCAACTAAAAATATACCAATCTACTTGATTAATTTTTGAAAATCCCTTATCTATATTAGTATATGTATATATTTAATGTATATTCTTTTTTATTTATTTATTTATTTTTTTGTCAACAAGCAATTATTTAAAATGTTTAATTTTAGTGAATTATTTAACATGTTTTAGTATTAAAGTTTTAAAAACTCTTCTATTGTAATATTGTATATTTACTTTTATTTTAATTTATAATATTATATTACGAACGTATATTTATTTTTATACGAATATATATATATATATATATATATATATATATATATATATATATATATATATATATATATATATATATATATATATATATGTATGTATAAAAAAAAAGAAAATAAAAAAGAATGAATGTATACGTATCTGCCAATATATGTATATAGGCTACGTTTGGAGGTGAACCATCCTTTAGCAGTGGCTTGGTACCATTATCATCAGAAGCGTAAACGGTAATTTATATATTTGGTAGCGGCTTGGCGTTTTTGTTGTCAGAACGTATAGCGAAATTTGGTAATTTGGCTTTACACACAGCGATAACCATCGTATGGCTATTTAGGTCCTTTTACACAACCTTTTAAACAATCTGGAAATGTATTATATTCAGTCTGGAAATGAGATTATGTTGATTATATGCAGTGATATATAGTGAATAATATATAGCGATTAATAAGATTCAATGATTATTTTCGACAAATTAGATTATGTGTGCGCAAGAAATTATGGACATTATTGTTTGCATAAGTCAACTGTTCAGAAAACACAGTAATTTGATGGATGCAAGCCGTAAACACCAAAACAACAACAACAAAAAAAAGAAAAAACTTCAATTTCTTCAATAGCTGGTTTCTCTGTTACAAGACCTGATGGTCTTCTTTAAGTATCCGCGTTTTTTATATTTATTTTTATTCTTTATTTTTTAACGATATCTTGACTTGTTAACTTTTCTTTTTTTATATTGTTTGTATCTGTATCATAAATATTGTAATAAAGAACAAACAATATATATATATGCGTGTGTGTGTTGGTGTGTGTGTGTGTGTATCCGGCACTCTTTATCGAATGCTTAAAACTGTTAAAAATAAAAAGAACAGTACGGGTTTTAACTCCATGAAATTAACTATTACTACTTGTCAAAACACCTGTTAGTGTATTAGGTTTTTATTAATATTTTCATCGTTATGAAAACGCAGTATAATAATATACTATGTTTGCGTAGCGAATATAAATGCAGAAATAAAAGCACACAACATTTTAAAGTTCACATTAAAACCTCATAAAACAAGTATTAAACTCCATTAAATCAAGGTGTTTTTGGTTTACACCTGGATTGTGATAACCAAGTATCTGACGTGATAATCACCTGGAACGTGATAATCACGCTTCTTGATTCCGAAAGAGAAACTAGATGAAATATTATAATAAAAGTCCTGATATAAGTTCCAGACAGTCAAGCAGACTTAAATGGGTAAAAATATATTGCAAACCGAAATAAAAACTAAATTAAAATTTATAAAACATAAATGAAATAAATAAACGTGAATTTATAGATAAACAATATTACTAATAATATTTATAATAACTTATAGCTAAATAAATAGAAACAAAAAATGATGATCGTATGCGTGTTTTAAGTTTCTTTCTATTTACAAATTTAAAAACACACTCATGTACATACATACATACATTACATACATACATTACATACATACATACATACATACATACATACATACATACATACATACATACATACATACATACATACATACATACATACATACATACATACATACATATATGCATGCATACATACATGCATGTATGTATGTATGCATGCATGTATGTATGTATGTATGTATGTATGTATGTATGTATGTATGTATGTATGTATGTATGTATGTATGTATGTATGTATGTATGTATGTAAAACATATGTTTGTGCAAAATGTTTATTTAGCCTTTAGTAACTTTTGCGTTCTGCCGAACAAATGAGGTAAAGATATTTTTCTGTTTTTTATATTTGGACTAACTTGAATTTTGCAAGTGACCTCCTCGTACTTTTTTGGGGCCTCAATGAGTCTATTATAAATCTCTGCACCTTCATCATCTGATACAGATGAGAATGATTCTTGTGCTGAATCGAAAGAACCTGTCGAAGTTCTTCGAATACGATTTAATTTTCGTTGAGATAGTTCATGATTATTTAACGAAAGCTTGCGTGTAAACGCTTTTGGTTGGTTAGATTCTATTGAAATGGGTATCTTTGAAAAAGCAAGTATTTTTACAAACAAAAGCTTTTTAAAAGCATTGTCTACACTTTCAAAATCGTTTGCTGCGGACGTTTCTTCAAAATGAATTCCATGTTTTTTTGCTAATTTTTTTCCTTGACTGTAAGTTACTTCTCTTAAATGATTTAAATCTTTTTTGTTACCTAACAACAAAATAAATGATTGATCAACTTTTTTGCAAATATTCATTTCTTCAAGAATATATTTTGCCAAACTAAAACTGCGGGGATCAGTTACTGAGTAAACAATAACTATGGCTGAAGACCATCCAACCAAAGCAGCAGGGCCTTTGAGCCAAATCTAAAGAAATGTAAATATGTTGAAAAAAAAATTTTAAGGAGATACATTGTTTTGAATTTTCATAGCAACTTATTGCATTATTAAGACAGTATATTTTCAATAACTATTTAAAAAATGAAAATATCAAAACATAAATACACACAGTTGTTTAAAATGGCATATTTTTATCACATACTTAGGTTCGTTTTACAGTTTTTGTGTTTTTAAGAAGAAAATAATTTGTAAATGTTTTTACGCTATAGTCTGAAATCAATTAATGTTTTTTCTGCAGTTTATAAAATTTATTATACTTTATATATATATTTTTAGTATATATATATATATATATATATATATATATATATATATATATATATATATATATATATATATATATATATATATATATATATATATGCATTAGCTCATGTTTATTTAGCCCATGTTCTCAAATTTCTAAATTTGAGAACATAGGCTGTGATAAAAGAGATTCTGTGATAAAAGTGATTCTGGTAAAATATTCCTAGGTGTTTATCTTGATGAGAACATTACTTGGAAAAACCATATTGATCATGTACGCACCTAAGTCTTAAAAACTATTGGCATTTAATATAAAGCTTACTTAAATACAAAAAAAAAACAACTTTATAATTCATTTATACAAAGTTATGTAAATTATGCTTATGCCTGGGGAAGTACGGAAAAAAGGAAAACTACAACCTCTATTCAATGCTGTTAATAAGTCTATAAGTTAACATTAATTTAAAATAAACTTTGGTTTATAACAGATTTTTTTTCTTTGATTGATAAAATTTATGAAATTGATTTAATTGCGTTTTACCTAAAAATTTTTATCGCGTCTTTCTATCTGATATTTATTATCGTGGTTTTTTCTTTAGATTTACATTCTCAGTTAAGAATGTAAATCTTAACAACCAATGATATAATATATATACTAGATGTCTAACTTCGATCCGAAAAGTGAACCTGCTTTTCTTTCTAGTTAGAAATGGCTTCCACAACATTAACTATAAAATGTTTTATTAGAAACAAAACAAGCGGTTTCACTTTTCGTCCAATAAAATCCCGCTACTTAGACATCAAATATACAGTGGCGGAAAAAAGTCAAGTGTCCGGTAAATTTTTAATAGAATCTTTCGCTAGATAAAACAGATAGCTAAATAGTTAATTAAAGTAACATCACAGTGGTTTTCGCTATGCATCATGTGTAGAAATATTTTAATTAAATATTTTAATTAAAAAATCATTTTAAGTACATATAAATAACCAATTCTGTTAAGTCTACATTCGTTGTCGGACACATGACTTTTTTCCGCAATTGTATATATATATATATATATATATATATATATATATATATATATATATATATATATATATATATATATATATATATATATATATATATATATATATATATATATATATATGTATATATATATATATATATATATATATATATATATATATATATATATATATATATATATACACACACACATATATATATACATAACATATATATACATAACATATATATATATATATATATATATATATATATATATATATATATAATATATATATATATATTATGTATATATATATATATGTGTGTGTATATATATATACATATATATATATATATATATATATATATATATATATATATATATATATATATATATATATGCATATGTGTATATATATATATATATTATATATATATATATATGCATATGTGTATATATATATATATATATATATATATATATATATATATATATATATATATATATATTATATATATATATATATATATATATATATATATATATATATATATATATATATATATATATATATATATATAAAATATATATATGTATATTTATATATATGTTTATATATATTATATAAATATAAACAAACAAACAAAAAACCGGACTTGAACCGTACGAATTGAATGGTTGATTCTATGTTGTAAAGTGCATTCGCAGCATGATGTTTCTATATAAGTCATTCTAGTGCATGGCAAATAGATTTAACTGATATAAAAACTTTTTAAATTAAGAATCGATAAAATTCTGGGTTTGTTATCCCTTCTGGAATTTTAAGACCGTTATTTATTTGAACAGCTAGCAACGAAGAATTAAGAAACCTGTCTAATATCACACTGAAACAGGAATTTTTTGTTTTTTAAACAACAACTGTTGTCATTTTATTGTAACAGTTATTGTTATTACATAATGATTAATAATTATATATAACACCAATTTTTTTTTAGTTATTAATGTTTTTATCATAGAGCACCGCGGAGGAGCATTTAACCAGAAAGTTTACGCCTCCTTATCAGGCGAGAACCGGCATAAAACCTCAAAGCTTTTGATTCTGAGTCAGAACTCCACCACGGATGCTCTAACGTATAAACTACTTCTGATCCAAAAGGACGGATTATTAAAAATATTAAAAATTGAAATAAAAAAATTATCTGTATGCTAAAAGTCATATTGCACTAAAGAAGAGCTAAAAGTTCTTTGAAAATAAATAGTGTTTGCTCAATACTTAAAAATTAATGAGCTTTATTTTTTTTTTCTTGAGTTATTTTACATAAATAATTTACATAAATAATTTAAAAAAATATCTTTTTGCAATAAAATGTAATAAATAAAAAAATTATCTTATTCATTTATAAAAATTATATAAATAAGTTATATATATAAACTTATATATATAAATTTATATATATAAACTATGTTAATAAAAAAAAAAAACTAAATTAAAAAATAAAAAAAATACTATTTAAACTTATATATATATATAAACTTATATACTTATATAAACTTATGTAAATATAAACTTTCGACAACTAATTGTAATGAAATACTAACTAGGTGGTGTTATTTTACCCTCAACTCATATAATGAAGCGTTTAAAGCAGAATTAAAGCATAAAATTATGCTGGAAAAATGAGTGTACAATACTATTATTGGTTTAAAAAAATCAATTTGTAATATTTTCTGTAAGAATATAAAACTCCTTGAAAGTGATTTATTTCTAGAAATTAAGTCTATTGTTAAATGCTATCAATGACATGTTTTTTCCTTATCTAACTGCTATAAATGTTGGTCCTTTGAAGCTGCTTCTCGGTTTTCAAGAACTAAAGGCTTTTTTTGGGATTCCAGCACACAACTACTGAATTATTTTGTGTCTTGCAACTATAACACAATCATTATCACTTAGACTGAATCTATACTTGACTAGCACTGGTTATGAACTTTGTTTTTTACATTGTTTTCGCAGTACAAAAAAAACCCTTTGTTATGTTTAGCATAGTTATCGTTCTGTGTTCTAATATAATGCTAATCCATGCATAGTATCCAGTATTCATAACAGTTTAAGTATCAAAAGCTTTTGATCCTCAACTCATAGACTGCAGGCAGGTCACAGATAGCCACGAATGTCTACACACCCGTACTCCACTAGGAACGTAACGTTGTTTATGGAAAGTTCTTAATGGAGCATTGGGAATTTTTAACACTTATATTATAAAAGATACTTAAAAAAATTTAAAAGGACTAATTGTTATATAGAGACCACATACCAAGGCTCCTCAAGACAAGTTTAGCTCCCTAAAAAGCATCATAATCCGCTTTGCAATCCAAGAGTAAGTGATTTTTAAAAGAATGATGGAAATTAGAGAGAAAGTTAAAAGAAGTTGAGTTAGAAAGATGGGATAGAGACAGTGGACAGAAAATGCACTTGATGTTAGAATGTGCAACTTATGCTCAATATCAAGTTCATTTGAAAGGATATATCTTGTTATGTATAAAGCTTTACATAATTTACGTAACTTCTTCAGGTAACATAATATACGTAACTTGTTTAGGTTTTATTTAGGTAACGCAACATTTTGAAAATGAAACATAACCAAAAACTTGCTTATCGGCGCTAGCTAAAGTTAAAAACACTTATTGTTTTGGCAATGGTTTTTCTTGTAATACTTAAAAATTTCAAGAAGTTCAAAAATTACTTACAGAACCCGCTGTGTCCTTGATATGCAGCTCTACCGATTTGCCAGCCAATTGTATATTTCGTTTGATGCAAACGTCTAGAAAAAATGTCTCACAGAGTTTTATTTTTTTTAATTTTATATAAATAAATTTTGTACTTTAAGTTATCTTGATGAAAAGTTTTATTAATAATAAATAGATAATTTATTACCTGAATTAGAATCATATTCCCCGATAAACCTTCGAGTAAGAAATCGAACGGCAAGTGCTAATATATATATATATATATATATATATATATATATATATATATATATATATATATATATATATATATATATATATATATATATATATATATATATATATATATATGTTTATACATATATATTGATTTTTAATAATTTATGAGTAACTTTAAATTTTAAAACTTTAAACCTGACTTCCCAGAGTTCTTGCCTCCGACAATTGCCAACTTGATGACCAGACTGGACATAATAACAAATTTGCTTTGGAGCTAGTTGCGCATCGAAATTAAAACTTAATAGTAATAACGATGAATTGTTTTATTTTTCATCCTAAGAAAATAATATTAAAAATGGGCGAATATCTTTATTTTAAATAATGTAACGCATAACTCAAATATAATAAATCTATTAGTCCATCAATGCTGTCATATTCGAAATAATGCTAAAAAATGTCGCAGTTAAAATAAACAAACATTAAAAAAATATCTCAATGTGACAGCAACATTTTTCCAACATTTTAAAGTTTAGAACTTTTTTTTTTAATCCAAACTGTATCAAATTTCAACATTTATGTTATTTTTTATCAAACTGTTCTATCTATCTTCATTTGTAAAAGTGGATCTAACTATTGAAGATAAAAACGACGGTTTTTAAAAAGCTTATTTATAAATCTTAGTTACTAACAATTTTAATTTACAGACTAAAGCACTTCTATTTGACGGAAATACCCAATTGAAAGTGGTGTGACATTTTAAAAAGTAAACGCGGTCGAACATATGCTACATTTAAAACAAAATTTACTTTTTTGAATGTAGCATTAGTATGTAGCAAAAAAAAATTTTTCTAATAGAGCTAATTAAAATGATACGTTAAACTTCTGAAAGCAACGTGCATCTCTATGATGTAGCAATTTTTTCTTATTACCTTTAATTCTATCATTTAAAAATAATTGGCAGTAATATTTTTATCCTGGATCATTTATACTCACAATGCTGATATTAAGTTTATGACGAATGTCTTTGCAATACTTTAATAGGATTACTAAATAAATGGACTACTTGACTTATTGTTACGATACTAGTAGAATAATTTTTACTGCCATTAGAAGAAAAAAAATTAATTATAAATAATAATAAAAAAGAAAAATTTAGCCTTTTTCAAATTTGGTTAAGTATTTAATTGGCTATAAAAACTTTATTTGAAAAAAAATAAAAAACCTCATAAATTTTCATCGATATATCAGTTCAAACGTATCAGAACGTGGGAAAGAACTCTATTAACTCTATTTGTTTCAGAAAATAAAATCTTTTTAGTTTAGACTCATAAAAATATATACCTTTTTTAAGTTTAGATTCAAGACGCTAGAGGCGCGTTTCCGAGTGCTGACTTTATTAAAACATTATTCGTAATTATCTCTAAAAATTACTTTTTTTATTGGAAAAGCCAACGCAACTGGATCAAAATATTTATAAAAAGTAAAACTTATAACAGTTGAACGACTCCTCTCATCCAAATAGGAAAAAAAAATAGCACTAATGTAATTAAAAATTTAAGAATTGTGTACTTTTTCTATTGTAATTTGCTTCCCATTGAGGAACTTACAAAATTTACAAAAAACCATTTCATAAGTACGGAAAGTTAGAAATTCAATTTAAAAAATGCTTATGTATTCCTATAGCTCACGTCAATACCGGTTAATTTATATACTAAAATTTTTTCGCCAACATGTTGAAACTAAGTAATCATTTGCGACAAAAATTTAAGATGAAATTGAGTTCAAATTATAAACACAATAAATCTTATTAAATTTAATAAAAAGATTTATTTACGATGGAAAAATTGTTTAGATTAAACTTCTCATAATTGCGCGTTAACAAAGCTATGTTAAACTTTTTTTTCCATAAGAAATTACATATAATTTATAAAATTCGAAGATATTTCAAATCATTTTTATTTTATATCATACTAAATAAAGTAAAACTTTATTTCTTCATTAGCGCCAACGACCAACACTCACATTTTTTAAACATAAAATATATTATAAAATAAAATCGAGTGTAAATTTATTGCCTGTTTCTTATCCAAAAACATCTGAAATTGCAATTAAAAACACGAAACTTCATTTTGTTGTTTTTTATGAATTTATATATATATATATATATATATAAGATTTTTAGCTTTTTTATTAAAAAAGCTATTAAACCCGCCTGAACCCTGGAGTGCTAATACTGTAATTTACTACTAAGTGTTGCAACACCATTTTTACAAAGAAATGTTTAAAAAATCTGTTAATAGGACAACCTCCAATGTAATACCATGCGAAGTCCTACATTATAAATAGCGGGGGATAGTAACAATAATTGAAATTCTTAAAGAACAACTTTATACATACAATTCGATCTCTGTGCAGGAACAAACGTCACAAGATTGACACGGGACTAAAATCAGCGATAAACAATAGATTAAACATCATTTATGATTATGTCCTTATTTTAGATACTAACAAAAAAAAATTCATCTTTAATTGTGTAAAACTTATATTTATGCCTATAATAAGAATAAGTGAAATATCAAAAACAAAATAAAATGGAACTGCCAATTCAAAATGTTGATATATTTGTAATAAAATTGTAGCTATTAAAACCCCACGAGTAACGTGGCAAACCTGGTAACACGTGGTTAAGGTATGGCTAATTTAAAGTCATTTTAATTCAAACCGCCTAAAAACTAAAATCAAAAGAACGTAAAAATAATCCGTAATTAAATTATAAATTACAAGGTTTTTGTTCAAAAAACATATAAAATGCAATAAAATAAACGCAATAAAAACCGGGATTTTTTTAATCTCAAAACAAGACAACATATAAGAAATACTACGTCCTTAGAAATATTAGTAATAATAATAAAAAAAAAACAGGATTGGAATATTTATACTGAATACGTAAAAATCTCATACTCATAAATAGTTTTGGATAAAATAAGCGGGATATTAATTTTAAATTTAAATCACCCAATTTTACATAAAATATAATAATAAAAATCGCCATGTACATTCCTAGATTGAGACATTTCTTCTGAATAATGTCGAACCACGACTGCGTAAGCCCTTAAATAAAAGAAAAAAATAAATTATTGCATTATTCAGCTAAATAAAAAAAAATTTAAGATTAAATTTTTTTTGTAGTTGGGAAGTACTTAAAAAAAATGTAAAAACACAAGCAAATAACAAACATTAGTTAAACTTATCCCATGTATCTCAGAAAACTAATTCCAAAGAAAAAATTTTTTCAAATAATAAAATAAAAAGATCAAAGAAATAAGCGCATAAAATTATCGTTCTCATAATAATAGCAAATTCTATCAAAACAAAAGATTTATTTGTGTATTTATTTATAGCGTATAACATTCATTTATTTGTGTATTTATTCATAGCGCACTAGAACCATCTATTCGTGCACTTATTCTTAGCCAGAATTTAATACTTATAATATTTTATTTGTCTGATTTGATCTAAGTATATAGTTGTCAATAACTTGATCCACTAAACCAAATCTTCAAAGCAGAATTCGACAAATATTTCGTGGTATAAAATTAAAACATTCTTTTGTTACGGAAAAAGAGAACAATTGAAGCGGCAAACATAAAAAAAAAATGTATTAAATTTTTGCAACGAAACTGAAGTAGCTTGGCTTAACAATTTCCTAGTCGTAGTAACGCTTTAATTACCTATCAAAAAAGAGTCCATCAATATACTAAATGCCTTTTTTTCAACCACACACTCAACCTAGGAGCAGATTTTATTTAAGTCTATAACCGGATGTCAGAGTTAAAATAACAGAATACAAACACATACAAAAATTAAATGCACAATAAATTAAAACATCAACAAATTTATACTGAAATATATATTTAAATGATAAAAAATGTATAATCGATTAAAAAAAGTTTAAGAATGGAACAATCTTGTTAAAGTTTTGCATTTATCAAAAAAGTCAACAGTTGGCGCTTAGAATAATAGGAGTTACTGACGCCAGTCATAAATGTTAAGAACATGCTAACAATTTTAAATTTTTCAAAAATTAAATACAGCTTTTCCTTTAAATCAATTGTTTTTACCTAACGAGTCTATTTTTAAACGAGTTTATTTTAATCAGAAAAGATAAAAGTAAACCAGGGGAAAACATAAGAATTAAATGTTAAAATTCCTAAAACATCGTGTCACGTAGTTGGATCTATAAAAATCTGAACCTTTAATACCAAAGATGTTCCACTGAGGCCAAAAATGTTTTTAACCGTTATTTCAATATTGACCGATTTATAACGTTTTTATTTCCAACCAAACCAATTTTAAGTGATTTTTTTTTCAACTGATATCAGATAATTTAATTTTCAACCAATTATAGATGATTTTCAACTGATAAGTCTGTATTTTAATTGTTTTTTTTTTTTAAATACTTCACTCCATAGGTGCATTAGCACTCTTTAAATTATAAGAAAATCTTTTCAAAAAAATATACAAAATACATACTGTAATAAACTTAGTTCTATCGAAAAATCACTCTATAAAAAGTACAGAAAATTTGTGGTGGGTTGATAATTCAGTCGATCAAAATCTCAATATGTTGAAAAATTAGTAGTTCGTGTTATAATTCAATGTAAATGAAACTGCAAAAGTTATCGATTGAAAACCAAATCGTCATAATTTACAAGTTTAGAAAGTTCAAAATTAGTTTCAGTTAAAGACCATCCAAAACATCGATATATTATTTGAGTTCAATTGTAAAAGGTAGTAAAAGATTAAAACGGAAATTTTGCCACATATATATTTGTATGTATGTACGTACGTATTTATGTAATGCAATCACACACTCAAAAAATTTATGTGTGAGGTTTAAGTACACTTAAATACACATTTTTACTAAACCCATATAAGAAAAATATTTTTTTACTTCAAACTTTTAGAGAACTTTGATTGCTACAATATTCGATTCTAAGAGAAAAAAAAATGTTTTTTCCAGTCCAGATTATATTTTAAAATATCCGAAAAAAATATGGAATATATTTTTCCCTTATTATCCTCTTAATTTTGCTTTAGGCTGAATTATTTCCAATTTTTTTTCAAACTTTTATTAATTTTTGTATGAGTGATGAGTGGAAAAGCTTAAAAAACAAATATATTACAAAAATACATACCTAAACTTGTATCTATGGAAAACGTTTTGGATATCCGGAAAAACTTAAAATTGAGAAAAATATCCGGAAATATCCGGAAAATATTCCGTGCATGTTATCAGGCCGTCATAATGCAGCAATTAGCGACGGATAACTGTTTTTGTTATAAAAATGTTTAAAGCTGCAAAACATAATAGGGCACAAATAACCCTCATAAACGAATTGGTATTTGTTAGTTTTATGAGGGTACATAGATAATAAGAAAATATGTAAATTTACATATTATTCAAAATTGGTTTATGAAAATTAAAGTATTATGTATACATTTACATATTAATTAAATTACATATATAAATTACTGTTACATATATAGGTTTAATACTTAATACACTTATATTACATACTTAACAATGTAATGATAATAAATATGTATTTAATATAAAAAGTATGTAACAAGTAATTTAGTATATATACTTTTATACTGTAAAAAATAAAAGTATAATTTAATTATACTTAGTATTATTTTTCAAGATCTCCATAAAAATGGTACAAAATTATGTTTACAAGTCACAACTTTTTCTAAATACTCTAAGTACTCTTCCCACATAAAACCCAGCTGTATGCAAAATTCATATATATTCTATAGGTGGACTAATCTGCCCCAATAATGGGATACGTATAATATTTACTTATTATCTATGTACTCTCATAATACTAACAAATACTAATTTTTTTATGAGGCATATTTGTGACCTATGTTTTACAACTTTTAACCTTTTTATAATAAAAACAGTCAAGACTGTTAATTTTTATTTAACAGTTAAACAGTTAATTACAAACTTCAAATATTTTTATAATCTTCATTTTTTAGGATCTAGTGTCTCATTAACCTTTTTCCATGAAAAATTAAAACGTGAAAAGCTAAAAATCACAAAGTGAAAATTTTTATAAACAAGTTGACCAATATGCCCTGGTTTATCCATAAAAAAAAAAAAAAAATATTTTGTAAATAATCTTTCAAAAATTCAGACTTGAACTTATTTAGGAGTTGCTTACTAAGAAAATTAGAAAGTTGGCTCCTATAGATGTATCTTTTAAAAAAGTTAAAGAGTTGGTAACATAGTAAACAATATGTTTTATATTAAACAAAAGCTATATAACAATTTTATAAACACAAAGCAAAAGAAATCCAATGAAACTATTGACTAAAGATGCAGCACACTACTTAGCTCAAACTTTTTATGAACTAGTTGTTCAAATTACTTAGGTCAAACTTTTTATAGGCTGGTCGTTCAAGCACTTTTTAAGCAAAATGTGTAATTTATCATTATTCAACTATTTTAGTACTGACCCATCAAAAAAGTAGATTAAAAAAATAAAGCAAAGACAGTAGGAACCTGCAACTTTGCAAGAACTTGAATTTATGTTCAACCTATTCTGAAAAACCATAACAGCTGTACAAAGTTTATTTTATAGCTAAACAAATAAAGAGTAGGACAATTTTGGTTAAGATCATATTTTTTCAAAATATAATACTTTACGAAAAAAGAACTCAAGAAAATTCATTGATAGTTGATATTTTAATGCCTTATTGATTACTGGGTAGGGGAGACTGGTTTTCCTAGGGACGCTTTTAGGTTAATGAGTGTAATTTTTCATCAGTAAATATAATTGAACTTTTAAAAACTGTATATGAAAATATGGTCCATTGTGCACTTTTGATGAGAATCTCTGCTTTATAATACAATTTTTTAATACTTTTTTTTAGCCGCAAAATAAGGTCTGACTTTGTCCCTAGGTACAACATGGGGTTGTAAGGTTGAAAGGAAACTAAAAGCAATGATATAGATCGTTAAAAGAACTATTTATTTGTAGCGAAGGTAACAATATTATTTAAAATAGTTAACACTAATAAATAAAAACTTGTGAAATCAATTTTTCCAGAACAAACAAATATTTAAATTGTAAATAAACATTACATTTAAAATTTGCTTTGATGTTTGCGGCTTGATAAAAATTTTCTTGATTAAGGTGCATGTCCCTCGGTACATGTCCCTAGGTACAACAGGGCACCAAATTGACAAAAAATGCCGACTAAAAATTTGAGGTTAGGATTTGAGAGATATTATTAACGCAATATTCAAGCAAACAAAATAATGTATTCAAATAAACTAAGAAATATTATGTTAAATACATTATAAGGGTGAAATTAAAAAAGAAAAATGTTAAAAAAATTACGTAAAAAGGGTTGTAAAATCAATTTTTATTCAACACTTTGCAACGCTTCACACCAACACGATAACACTTCAACTGACCTCAAGAGGTGGAGTGTTGCCACATGCAAAAAATATTATGCTCTCATACAAAATTCTCAATATATTAGAGTTCTCAATATATTAAAATTCTCAATATATTAAAGTGTCCCTAGGTACATGGCGTTGCTAGGAGAACCAGTCTCCCCTACATTGTTAGTTATGATAAATCTAGACGACACTTGTTAATGTGAAAAATTTGCCAATATTTTAAAAGATACAAATGAGTTTTTAACAATTCCAGGTGACATAGTTTGCAAATAAGCCATTTATCACTTCATTATTTTCACCTAATTATGTAATTACAACTGCCATATAATACTATGGTAACCTGATGATGTCAGATTATTAATCACTAGTCATGGAAAAGTCATTAACAATTTGTTCATTAAAAAATGTTAAAGAACACTGTTAATGAACAAGAAAATAGTTGACAGACTTAAAAAAATTGTGTAAGTCAGGAAAAGCATTAATGAAAAAAAAACTAGAAAATTAAAAGTTTTTAGAGCATGAAGAGACAGATACAGCAAAAGGATGCAACTTTGCCGAATGACATACCACAAGAGATCAGATTTTGGTTGATGTAACAAGAGATTTAAATTGTCATATCTTGCTTCATTTAATAAAAAACCTTTATTCTGCTGATAACCCAGAACAAACACCTACTTTCTCCTTTTATTATTACAGATCTAAAAAAATAGCCCATGACAAATTTTAGGATACATCCTCTGTATAAATAAAGTCCTTATTAGGAAAATGATCATTAAAACTTTTTCAAATGGTCATCTTAAAATTTATTAGTGTTGTGACTAAAAATAAAATCTGTTACTAAACAACTAAAAAATCATTAACAGAAATTAACTTTTGTTTGCTTATATTAGTTGATTAACTTAAAAACAAAACTAATTAGCTAACTTTCTAGTTTACTAATATTAGGTTATATCAGTTAAGCTTTTAGTTTAACTGAAATTAGTCAACTAACTTCTTATTTCAAAAAAAATAACAAAAATTATTAATATTATAATTTTATATTAATAGTTAATTTTATTAGTTTTTTTTTCAGTAGGTTGACATAAGACTTTTTTTTATTTTATAAGCCATTTTTATTTATTTATTTCATAATCCTTTTTTTAAAACTGTAATGTTCAAAAAAAAAGGGGGTTCTAAACTTTGTATTTTTCTAACTCCAAAATATATTTTGATAATATTTGAAATCTATTTATAAATTATTACCCTATTTATGGTTGAGCATACTTTTTCATCAAGACAATTGTCTGTTAATTTGTTGAAACCAAGATAATTTATCAGAATATTAATTTATAAAATTTAAATAATCTAAAACAAATATACTAAAATATATTGCTTTATTTCTAAATAATTTTTGCAAAAAACATCACCTAATTTAGAAAAAAAGAGATGGATCTGTTTTAGTTGGGTCAATAAAGAAAATAAAATTTTTGAAGGAATTCTTACTACCTTTCAGATTGTGCAAAATCATCAACATCAAATTTTCAACCAAAGAACCAGAAGCATATCGGCATTCATAATACAATACAGAACCAGAAGCATATTGGCATAAACAATACAATACAAAACATTGTTCAAATGTAGAGGAGAATCTTCATAATCTAAAAAGACTTTTCGAACTCCTTCAACTCATTTAATTTCAAACTCCTTCAACTCATTTAAATAAAGTTTAACTTCAAAGGCTATTGTTTAATATCAAACTCATCATCATCATCATCATCATCATCATCATCATCATCATCATCATCATCATCATCATCATCATCATCATCATCATCACCATCACCATCACCATCACCATCACCATCATCATCATCATCATCATCATCATCATCATCATCATCATCATCATCATCATCATCATCATCATCATCATCATCATCATCATCATCATCTATGAACTATTCCTTATCTTTGCTTTTAGAGGCTTGATGATTTAGGAATTATTCTGGTCATATTTAAAAAATCTAGAAAAGTTTTTCCTAAAAATATCTGGAATATATTCGAAAAAAATATCCGGTTAAATTCGAAAAAAAAAAAAGTGTTTTGGATATTGAAAATATTGAAAAGAAATTCACTATTTGCATGCACAAATTGTTATATTATTTAATGTTTTTATTATGTTACTAGTGTGTTATTATAAATTAATAAAAAAATTTCTTTAAGTAGTTTTATTTTTTTTAATTATTGTTGTTAATCACTTTTTTCAAAGAATATGTGCATCAGTACATACATAAATTGACTGCTATAACCGAAGTCACAGCTGAATGTACATCCATTGACTGACTTAAATAAGGATAAACGCAGTGGAATGTGCATACATTGACTGAGAGTTTAGGTTTTGGCAGACATTCTCTTATATATAAAAAAAGCATTTCAATGCTTATTTGAATAGAGTTTATAAATTAATATAAATTATATAAAAAGTTAAATTAAATTAAACTAGATTTTTAGATTTAACTGTCAAAATAATTAATAACAATTATATGCATACAAATAAGGAAAAATTAGTTGTACACACGTACAAATAATGTCTAATTTAACTAAATTTAGCGTAGAGTAATATATGAATGATACCTTAACTGTTTTAATTATTTGATGACAAAAAAAATTTTTTAAACTTGTATTTCCAGAAAATTATTTGGATATCTGGAATTCATAAAATATTCAGAAAAATATGACCACTGTGATAATGATTTCAAACGAGCAATAACTTAAAACCTTTTTTTTTAATATTGCTGTTGCTATTGTGACTTTTTAAAAAATATTGCTGTTGCTATTGTTACTGTAAATTAGATCTTTTAAAAGAAAAGTCTTTGTAAAAAGAACTTTTGAATTACTAGCAGATAAATTCGAAACCATATGACAATGATGTGCAAAAAGGATTTAAATGAAAATTGTAAATAATCAATTTCCATTTTAAACAGTACCTCAATATAAAGAATCTGCTTGGAACAAAACCTCAACCTGGGCATAAAAACTTAATCAAAACACACAAAAAGGTTTGTCTCAAAAAACTTTCAATCATGGTAAAAAAAAACTGAAAAAAAATCATAGTTATTGTGAACAAAAATGGTTTACCTTTTCAGTCTTAGTGAAATGCACTGCGGTACATAAAAATTTTGAACATTTTTTGGTGACTAGCACTGCAATACATATAAATAATTCAATATTAACACTTTGCACTTGGCCTATAAAGCACAGTTCTTGTCCATTTAGAAAAAAACCCAGTATGTCTTTAGCATTTTAGAAAGTTTCAAATGTTTAGTGTTAGTGGTTACAAGAAGAAAAAAAATTATAAAAAAACAAAACAATGAAATTTTAGATATTGTTTTGAATAGTGGTTCACAATGTGGACAAAGATTTAAAATGGGAGTACAGATATTTGTACTACAATTTGTTTTATATTGCTTATATCAGATATGATAGATATATGAGGGAGACATTTTTTGTAAAATATAACAGTTAAAAATTTTTGTAGCATTTCATTTGTAGGGATTTATAAATTGAAATTTATGTGTCACACACAATGTATCATAGGAGGTGAAACATACTGTCAAGCGTGACAAAAATTGGATTATTTTTTGCCTTAATACTTATAAAAAATCATTGCAATCTGAGCGCAGGAACAAAAATGAAAAAACCTCCCTAGTAACCCTCTTGTCAAGGGAAAAAACCTCCCTAGTAACCCTCTTGTTGAGGGAAAAAACCTCCTTATAATCCTCTTGTTGAGGGAAAAAACCTACCTAGTAACCCTCTTGGTGAGGAAAAAAAAATTTTGAAAAAAAAATTTCTTTACCATAAGTAATATCATTCATAAATAGATTTCAGATCTCATTAAAATGTACTTTGGAGCTCAAATGATATGACCTTATAAAGGATAGATCCCCTCATTTTTTGAATGCAAAGGGTCAAAAAATAAAAAAAGATACAGTTTTAATTTGGTTTTAAAGGCTTCTTTTTTATGTCAACCTATTGGAAAAAGGATCTAAAAAAAACCTAAAGTAATAATAACTATATATATATATGACAGCCAAAAAAAAAATTTACTTTAAATAATAAAGGCAAGAAGAAAATTTGTATATATATATAAAATCTTTATTTTATATATATATATATATATAAAATCTTTAAACTATCTTGCATTAACTATTTCACAGTAGTATGTGTGCATGTTTATATATATATATATATATATATATATATATATATATATATATATATATATATATATATATATATATATATATATATATATATACAATATATATATATAATATATATACAGTGTGTGTATGTGTATATATATGTGTATATATATATATATATATATATATATATAAATTAGTAGAAAACCACTTAGCAAAATTTTTTCTCATTTAACAGTGTTTCATCAATAAAGACTCATCAAAAATGCTAATTTGTAATTGCTCTGTTCTTTTAAGAACATTGAGCACTCTTTTTGTAGAATACATTATAAATTGTTTATATATATATATATATATATATATATATATATATATATATATATATATATATATATATATATATATATATATATATATATATATATATATATATATATATGTAAACAATAATAAATTAATAGGACTAACCTTTTTACCCAAATCAATCCAGCAATCAGTCCAAGAGTGATATATTGGAGTTAGTGGTGGATTACCAGCTACAAGTCTGCATTTACAGAAAATAAGTTGTAAAATAACATTGAAGAAAAAAATACTTTCTATAAAAATTTTATAGTTTCAATATAAAAGGAACATTTTGTTTATTATTTGGATTCTTAAAGGGACTTAAAAAGGCTATCTCTATGAAACTTAGTAGTGTTTCTATAGAAATACTGCTAAGTTTCATAGAGATTTTATTAGAATTTCTATAAACTTAACTTTAATATTAACTTAAAAAAATTAATACTTTTTTCCTTTTGAAATAATAAGAACTCATACCACTGTTCTCATGAAAACAATGGTGTAAATGTCAACTTTTGGTAATGTTTGTGCCCTTGAATTTGGCACCCACAAAGTTTGTTTAACTTTACCAATCAAAGTTAAAGAAATTTTTTGTTAAACTTGGCAACCGAATTTAACGCTATTTGTTTAATGAAAAGACTATTCGCTGGGGCTTAACTTGGATACCTAACCCAAAGATACGCAGTATTCATTATTTAGACACTGAAGCAATAGAAATAGCATACAACACCAACAGCACATAAAACTTGTAAGATATGGAAAAATATAAAAAATAAGTAATAAAATTATTATGCCAACTTTTAAATTGAGACTTCAACTAAAAAAATAAGTTATGAACCAAATATTTTTTAAAAATATATAAACTTTACGATCCCCTTCCCCCCCCCCCTTCACTTAAAAAAAAAAAAAAATCCTTTTTTACCATCTTTTTTGAGTATTTTAAAAAATTAACAAATAGATTTCATAACAACTTCAACATTTCATATAGTATTATTTCTTATTTAAATTTTATAAAAAATTTGACATAAAAAATATTAATTTAAGGATCTGTACCATTTAAATAGTCAAGTGGTTTTAAGTAATCTGACTTCTGTTATTGTAAGATTGATACAACTTGCACTGTTGCACAAAATAAAAAAATCATTCAAAAATAACTGTTTACAAAAAAAAAATCAATTTTTTTTTTCGTCCTTGAAGAGAAGCTTGCTTGAGATAGCCCTCCAGTATTTGAAGTAGTAGTTGAAGCAGCACAGGGCCCTTGACTTTAGTTTTGTAGTCTTGTATATGTTTTACACCTTTCTTGGTGCAGTCATTCACAACTTGACAGTACTTTAAAACATTCACATAGTTATAACCTTTCATCTTTATCCAGTGCTTGACAGGCAAATGCATCTTTTCTACCTGGTTTGCAGTCATTTTAATTATGTTAAATAGTAGCCTGGAATGTGGACCAATTACAGAGACAAAAGGGGTATTGTTGCCATCGACTTTTGAGAAAGACGGTTTTCCAAGCTTCATTTCTTCTCTTCTTTGGGCGTCAAAAAAAGCATTTTTGTCTGTATCACGGTACCACTGCATATTAGAGATGTACTAACTATCAACTTTTGGTGCAATAACTGAGATGTGACTTTGTAAAAAAGCCTTTACGTAGAGCAGCACAATAAAATCAGTCATTCTTTTCAATTTATGACACTGATCCAGGTTGACCAATGCAATCTGTTAATCCAACACAACAAATTTTAAGATGTAAAGCTCATTGTGCATAAATCTTGCATGGCAATGCCCACTGAGTTTTTTGAAACTAAACATCTTACTATTTGGCAAGTCACCTCCAAGATAATTAACTGTCAGTTCAATCAATTCTCAATAATTGGCCCTTAGAAAGATATTCTTCTCAAGGTACCAACCTAGTTTAAGATGAGTGTTGCTTCGCAATGAATAGGATGGTTCTCTTCTGGCAAAATTTTATAACATCTGTAGGCTCATGAGAAATAGAATCTGGTGTCTAGTAGCATTTTAAAAATAGACTCGATAGGTCCATCATAATTTCCACTAACTGTATCCTGGACACAGTCTGTAAACATGATGGCTACAAACTGTCAGCAACAGCGAATGACCTACTCTTATCTTTAAGGGTGCTGCGCATCCAGTTTTGCGCCCTATGTTACAAGAAGTGTTGTCAAAAACGATGGCAATCAAAGTATTTAACAATTTCAGCTTAGAAAAACACTTGATGAAGGCATCTTTCTAGACATGTAGATTTAATAATTACAGGGATACCAAGAACTTTTTTTTGTTTGCATCATTTGATGAGCGATCTCAACCACTCGCTATAATAACAACATGCTCCACTTTCTTTCCTACATACAAAAAATGCTTGTCTCTAAATATTTTAGTATTTTTTGATACTTGCATTTCTAAACAATTAAAACAGTGAGCTAGTAACATACTGATCGTTCATTTACCAGTAAGTGACAAAACAAGTTTCGAATCCTAGTCACCGGATGGATAAAGAGGATTCTTCTCCTGAAATTTCTCCTTTTATTGGGCACCTCGTTTTTTTGTTTTACTCTATGGTTACTATGAACTGATGATCGAGAGTTTGGAAAATGATGTATGATGCGCCACCACCTTTGACAACTTTTGCTTCAACAGCTATTCAACAGCCATTCGATCTCTGCTACGCTGATATGCTGCGGCCTATGTGATTGGAGACATCAGTAAATGATTTTCTTAATGTTGTAGCATCAACTTGAATAGCAACAGTTGACAATCTGGTTTTCTGTTTTGGCTGGAAGGGAGTAAAAACTTCGACTTCTGAGCTGCTTGACTCATCTACACTTTTTTTGTGTTTTTTTTTTTTATTTTTTTATCACTTGAAAGTGTTTTTTTTAAAACTGTGCTGTGAGAGTTGAATCTGACTTTTAACTAGTAAATGAGCTCTATTCCAAATTTCTTGCAAATCAATTTATTTGCAAGATATCTTTGAAAATAATTTTTGTTGATACTATTATTTTCACACTTTCTTTGTTGAATTCTCAAGTGAAGTATCTTTTGAGGTGGGAAGTATCTTTGAGCAAATGGAAGTTTTACACTGACACTTGAACTTTTCTCCAGTCCAAATCCAATAAAGTAATCTTGATGATGATTTCATGTAAATCTTTGTTTTACCACTGAACAATTTTTTTCTTTTATTAGAGGTTTACTTCATTTTGGTAGTTTACGAGATTGTAGATCCATTTTTGTGGTGACTAGGGATTGTTCCAGGGAAATTCCCGGGAAAAAAAATAAACCAAAGATTCCAAATCCCGGAATATTTTTTTTTCGGTACTCATGGATTTAAATAATACATCGTTTAACTTTCCCGCCAAAACTATAATTTTTTGTTTTGCGGACCATTAGAAGATTACTTAATGTTATTGTATACTTGTATTTTATCACTGTGCAACAAAAATTTTAATTAATGTTATAAAAATGTTCTCAAATCGTAAAACTTCAAAGGTTTGGAGTTATTTTGATCTAAAAAAAAAATGATGAGGCACAATACAAACATTGTCCAAAATTAATATTATGCAAAGGCGGTACCACCGTTGGGTTGAAAAGACATTTAGAGAAAGTCCAAAATATCATTTTAAATAAAGAATGTGAAGATAAACCGCTTAATAAAAAACGTTCAATCTACAATTGATTTTAGGAGTTTCATTAGTTTCATTAGGAGAACTATTGGCTTGATTTGCTGCTATTGATGGATTTTCCATAAGTGCAATAGCTGAATTGGATCAAATTCGTGAGTTGCTTCATGATAAAGGCTACAGTTTACCAAAATCGAAAACAGATGTCATGAACCTTATTTATAAATACTATATTGAAATAGTTGAAGAAAAAAAAAGGACAATACTTGAAATAAAAAAAAAAGAATTCAAGTTCAGTATAGATTTGGATGAATATTCAAAATATGGCAGAAGGTTTATGAATATAAATTTTCACTATAATACTGGATTTATAAATCTCAGATTAGAGAGAATAATTGGATCGCATAATGCAAATGATTCCCTTAAACTACTTATCAAAAAACTAGACATGTTTAATGTGAATCTTTTCAGTGATGTGGTTTGCATAACAACAGATGGGGCTTCCGTTATGGAAAAATTAAGAAATATTTCTCCTGCTGAATATCAACTTTGTTTTGCACATGCAATACATTTAGCTGTGGTTGATGTAATTTATAAAAATAAAATTGAAAATAATCAGATTTCTAATGAAGAAGATATTGAAGATGATTTTGATATTTTTGATGACGATGATGATGATGATGATAATGATGATGATGATGATGAAAATGAAAATAGTGACTGAGCTTCTGATCTTGTTCCTGAGTTTTATAAGGTTCTGGGTAAAGTTTGTAAAATTATTGTAACTTTTAAAAGATCTCCCTTAAAAATGAATACTTTGAATACTAACATAATTTTTTTTAATTAAAGACTTTCACAGCGTGCGGTTTTAATATATGACTTTTTCATAGGGGGGTAAATGAACAAAATGGTGGCTTTGTTTAGTTAATTATAAAAGGTTTTTCTTTGTTTTAGATTTTTTAAATGACTTTGGTAGTCAAAATTTGGGTGTTTTTTGTTGAAATAACTATTATTAATTATTATTAGTTAATTTTTTAATCATTCACAAACCAAAATCTTCTGATCGATATAAATAGAATTGATATACAATAAAACTAGATATTGCTAACAACCCAAATCTTCAAGAAACTCCTCCTACTATTTCCTATCATCTCAAAGGTTTCTTAAATAATAATTTTAAAATATCTTATCTTAATATAATAGACAAAATAATGACAAAACAATTTAGTTTTGTTATTTTTTTCATTATAAAAAAATAAACCATTAAAAAAAGACTAGAAGAAGGTAATGCAGAAAGATACTAAAAAAAAAAAAATTAGAGTCTATAAAAGTAAAAGTTCTCCCAAAATTTAATAATCAATTATTATTAAAAGTGAAAAGTAAATCTTTATCAACAAAGTTATTAAAACCTACTACATTAATCAAAAATAATCCGTTATAATGAAAATACCTTTTATCTAACTTCAATGTTTTATTAGATATTACTAGTTCATATTTACTATTGTGTATTAAGATTGTAAAGGCACTGGTAATTGAGCTGTAGATAAAATAACTAAATTATTTTATTTTTAAT